TAAGATGAATGAGACTATAGTTAGGACCCAAGAGTATTGGTAACAGGTCCCATTTGGATTTCGCTTGAGATGATAGAAAATAGCACCTCAGCAAAACTGCTGAAATCCATCTTCACTCCCTAAACCAAGCAGGCTTCAGCAGTCAGCCTCCCCCTCCATTGCATTAGAGAAATTTCTCTCTTTTGGGGCTGGCCTTGGTGGATTTTCTATCTTCCTTGGTGTTTCTTACCTGGTCTCATTTTGGACTCTCCAGCTAGAGAGAACCGGGGTTTTTATTGGCTCCATCATATTTCTATTCCCAAAAGTCTTAGACCAAAGAGAGAGAGAGAGATCAAGGTCTTGATCTACTTAACGTAGAGTAGGGTCAGATAACAATATTCTTTTTCATCTAAGCTATCTGCCCCTGGTTTTACTGGTTTGGGTTTATTATTAGGAAAGTGAGGCCTGAGTGAGTCAACCAGCTATTTGAAGGGAAAACATGAAACTTTCTCCTCTTTCTTGTAGAATGGACAGAAGACCACTCATCCCTTGTGCCTCCTGTTATTCCAAGCCACCCCGCAAGCAATCTGGAGTCAGCCAGAGAAGCTCCACTTCAGGGTAAAGTGTTTCTGTAATTGCATCATGGTTTAGCTTGAAAAATCCAATTTTTTTAAAGGTACTTTACAGAGTGGAATCTTGTAACTCCCAAGTCATTCCTCTGCTGGTGAAATACATGAATAATGAAAATAAATCTAAATGCATTGTTAATCAGACTTGTCAAAAAAAAATTGAAACTTTTTTGAATAAATTTCTTCAACTGTTTGTAAATCTCTAAAAATAATGACTGCTTGTTAACAATCATATAAACTGGTGTTTCTCCACCTCAGCACTATTGACATTTTGGACTGGATAATTCTTTGTTGTAGGGACTGTCCTGTGCATTTTAGGCCGTTTAGGAGCCCTCGTGGCACAGTGGTTAAGAGCTATGGCTGCTAACCAAAGATCGGCAGTTCGAATCCGCCAGCTGCTCCTTGGAAACCCTATGGGGCAGTTCTACTCTGTCCTATCTGGTGGCTGAATTGGAATCAACTTGACAGCAACAGGTTTATGTTGCTAGTGACATCTCTGGCCTCCACGCTGCCAGTCCCACATCACTTGTGGCAACTGAGTATGTCTTCAGACAATGCCAAATGTCGCCTGGGGGGCAAAATCACTCCTGGGTTGTA